TCGTTCAATAAGAGAAATTTTTTACCTCGTTTGGAGGTTGGAAATTGCTCCGGTGCGGCGGCAGCGGGTGGCGGCGGTCGGCTCCCCAACGGCTGGGTTGTCTTCTCCGGCAAGGAGCTCTAGCGGCTAGGGTTAGTGTTTGGGTGTGGATTGGGTTATTTATACTCATCCGCTTTTGATCTGGACCGTCCATCGCTTTTAATCTGGACTGTCCGATCACGATTAAATAGGGAATGAATTTGGATAGTTCATCGCGATTAAATCTGGGCTGTTCATGCGCTATCCAATCTGGGTCATCCGTGCGCGATGCAATCTGGGCCGTCTGTGTGCGTTTTGATTCTGGGTCGTCCGTGTGCGCGGGAACGGAGGTCAGTCTTTCGATCGCGCGCACGCGAATCGCGCACGTGGTTCCCCCCGCGTAGCCTCTCACGTCAACGCCTCTGCCATCTAGCGCGTCTTGGTTGGTCGGGGCTGCTGACGGGGCATCTGACGTGGTACAATTTTTTTAAATTACGTTTGGTTCCTCGGTTTTTAATTTTTCTTTCAAAAATACCATCAGAACCCAAATTTTCTCCCTTTTTTTTCCAATATTGTTTTCAATTAAATTCTTAACTAATTTTTCACCCTTTTTATTATTATTATTATTATTATTTTCATTAAATCAAATTAAAATAAAATAAATTTAATTCAATTCAATTAATAAATAATTATATTTATAAAAAAAATAAATATTGGGTGTTACATAACAACAAGCCGGGTTCATGACAAATCTAATCAAACCCGAAAACATCCCCAATCGTAGATATATAAACTTTGAACCTGCTTCGAACTAGAGACAGAGTTTAATTTTTTATTATATGTTTTGAATGCATTAGATTTACGAATTATCTGCTTTGTGTGATTCTAAATTAACGTATTACTTGCTTAAATAATTTGATTAAGATAGTCGTTCTTATCAAAATTTTCGGTGTCAAATATTTTTATATCAGAATTTTGATATGTTATAAATGTTACAATATGATACACTAAAATAGATCTTTAAAGAAGATTGAGAATACAACACATTTCAATGTGGTTGATTTCTTTGAAAAGCTAAAAAGAATTATTAATGACTTATTTAGAAATATAAACATCAGAAAAGCTAATTTATTTTTAATATTATTTTATTGTTTTCTACTTATTTGTGGAGTTAGATTTAAACATTAATATATATATATATATAAAATAATTTTTATAAATTATTATATGTTCATTTCTTGTTTTAGTGAAATTTGCTATCATATTATTGTATGCTAGAATATTAAATTGATCTATATATTATTTTAAAATATTTTAAAATTATACATGTACTTTTTTTTTCTATTTTAATTTTTATATTTTAAAAACAAAATTTATTTTGAACTTTAATTATTCACAATGTTAACAAATGTATAACGTGAACTTAAGTTAAATACTTGTCGTATTTTAATTAAATTGAGTCATTTTTAACGTAATATTTATTTAACAGTGTGAAATTTAATATGAAAAAATAATATTTTTTTAATATAACATAAAAAAAAAAATTTATAAAAAAAAACAACTACTGGCCTGGCCCCTCCCTCCTCTCCCCAAACCTCACCACATACCTCTACCGTCCCCAACTTGGTCTCTTCTCTCTCACCTTCCCCAGAACCTTCCTGCTAGTTCAACCCATTTCCTCTCTCTATCTCTCTAAACTTCCTCTGTCGAGTAGGGACTCTCATCGACAGATTTGACAGAAGAAGATGAGAGTCAACCACTCATTCCTCCGCCGTCTCCCTCGCCAAACAAGCTGAGGCCCAAGCCAGTAAAGCTATCTCTCCCGACCTCCTCGACGCCACCGCTCGCATCCTCAAAAGCCCCCTCTCTCTCTCTCTCGGCTTCAAGTCCTCCGCTCTTAACTCTCTCTCAATGTCATCGGCGACAATTGCCGGAAAAACACGTAGCCCGCGGCCTTACCTCTTCTTCGATGGTAGCTACGACCTGAAGGAGTCCGGGATCCTTTTTTATTTTAATTTTTTGGAACACGTCAGATGCCAGATCATCAGACACGTGGGATCGCACGTGGACAAATAATCTAACCATAATGTGATATTTACCTAACTTGAGGTCATGTGAAATTTTGTATTTTTTTTTTAAGATTAAAAATAAATAGTTTAAGGTAGCACAATAATATTTTACATTTAAAACATTACTTAGTGTTTTTATAACAACATAAGTATATAATATGTGTGTGTGTGTGTGTGTGTATGTATATATATATGTATATGTGTATGTATGTATGTATGTAGTGGGTGTACGGCAAAGAAGTGATAGAAGGTAGCCCAAGGAGGTCACATTATAATTTATTCTCTGGACAGAGATCTCACAAAGATTTGATTTGCTTTACTTGGAAATCACAATACCTACCATCACGCCCCTAATCCTATCATTTATTTTAATTATTAAATTAACTTAATCCCTTAATTACCCAATACCTAATTTTTAATTTTTTAAATTTAAATATTATCTTACTATTTTAATTTTTTTGTTTTTAAAATATTTGAAATTAAATTAAATTTTTTAAAAAAATTATCCATATTTTTCAGCGGACATTTGGAAGTGTTGAAGTTCTCTCTCTTGGTTTGTTTATTCTTTTTCATAATTATTATATTATAATTAAATGCAAATAGTGCTTTGGGTGCCTCAAACATACATACATGTATATATATATATATATAGATACACGCATGTATATGCACACCCACTTTGGCATTGATAATTTACGTGCCTAATTTCTAATTGAATAAACAAAACCATGCACGTCAATATAATATTAAGCTTTGATAAGTTTTAATCATCTATGTATGTCTAACTCCATAAATGCATTGTTATTTTTATTTTTTATTTTTTTTTTAATTTTACATACGTATAGTGATTGATTTACATATTTAAGTGTATTAAAATTAAAGATATATATATATACATAGAAAGTAAATTAATTTACTTATACATTATATAATAATTTTACAGAAATATTTGAAAGGCTAATATTAACTACATGAAAAATATTAATTTTAGAGATATTTGTTTGAAATATATATACATAAAACATAATTAATCATTATTTTTTGAACAAATATTATAAGTTAGTGTAGTAAATTAAGAAGAAAAAAAAAATGAAGATATATATATATATATTAGTTTATGTATATATTAAACAACTCTTCTTAGAATTAATATGGTTTTTGGGTAAGATTATAATATTATCTTTAGAATTAATTCTATGTTATAGCTAAATTGGTTGAGCAAAAAAATAATATTGTAAGGTGTTTATTTTCAAATTAGAATTTATATATTTTATGTTAAATCAAGGAGTAGAAAAATTAATGGGTTGGGTATGGTATGGTATGGTATGATTATTCAAACCAGACCCATTACTCATTTTACTTGGTTTTGAAAGTGTCACACTTTTAACATATTACATAGTAGTAATCTACTCTAGTTTCCATTATTATACAGAATTGAAGAGACTATTGAATGATTTGAGGAGTAAATTACTAGAGTCGAATGCACAAGAGTTAAAAGAGGATCGAATAAGGAGAGATCAAGCACATACAGCCTAGAAGACTAGCATTTGGGAAGTAGTCACTTTGTTTAAAACTCAACGTAGACAATGAGTCGTCGTTAGGCACAAGTAATGCTCCTGTTTATAAAATGCATGTATGCGTGGCCGAGTGAGAAAACATCATCAAGATTATGCGGAACTGTAAAGTGATAGACTAAAAGCACAACGTGTCTGGTCAGTCACCCACATGCATAAGAACAAACCATCTTTTCCAACAACTTCAACAAAAGCACCATCCCAGTTTTCCATGGCTCCCATCCATGCAAATCAATATATTCCACTGTTACTTCCACTTTCAACTCTTATAAAAACCCTACTTAATTACCTTTTTTCTACAGTCAAAGAAATTATCAAACATTCACTTTATAATTCTTGTAATCAAAAAGTTCAAATTCAACAAACTTGACTCAGAACCCACAAACCTCTTTTTGAACAAATAAAATCCTTTCCCATTTGCATCATACCCGCATTCACAATTCTCTGATTAAAATCTGTAATGAACCCAACAAAAAGTAAACAATATTGAAACAAGAGATATCCGAGACTCAAACTGTCTTGTAATTTTGTTTTCTTTCTTTCTTTCTTTCTTTTTTTTTTTTTTTTTTTTTTGTTTCTTTGTTTGTTGTCATATCTAGTCTTTAGAGGTCTAGTCTAGATATACCCAACAAATTGATACTTGATCATGGAGGAGAAAAATAACCAGGAAAGTCATGAGGCCATTGGCTTGTTGGGTTGAAAGGAGGAGACCCAACAGTGGGGTTGGTGGAGGTGGTGGTGGTGGTGTTAGTGTTTTCACTCCGGCTGCTGGGACTAGTAATATTCCTGCCGCCATTGATGCTCATAATCCGAGTCTGATCAGAATCAACAGTTGGATTATTAGCAGTGTTGTTGATGATGAAACGGTGGTGCCAGTTTTGCTGCTGCTGATGATGATGATGATGGTGATGATCATGAGGCCTGCTTGACTGGATCAAGCTCCCGTGATGATCAGATGGGTATAAAGGATTAGGATTACCCATCTGGAAAAACTGCTGTGGTTGAACATTAGACCCAAAAGGTTGAAGATTAGCAGGCAAGAAACTCAAATTTGAAGCCAAAGAGCCCTGATAATACGACCCCACGGTGGAGATTTCAGAAGCAGTAGGAAGATTCCCACCAATCTGACCCTGATCCTTGCTCCTGATCATCAAACCCAGATTACCAGGAGGGAACAATGGTGGGTTTGAAGGGATAATAGTTGGTGATGGCGTTGACTCTGCCGTCTCACCAGACGAACCAGCAGAAGATGAAGAAGATGAACCAGCAGTCTTAGCACGCTTCATCCCTTTCCTACAACCTCCACCAACCGGCACGTTCCTCAGAGTTCCACCTTGTGTCCAGTACCTCCGGCAAGTCTTGCAGAAATAGCGAGGCTGAGATAGACTGTAGTTGTTGTAATAACAGAACTTTGTGTTCATAGAATCGCACCTTGGACATTTTTGTGGCTCCGGCTGCGGCTGCGGCTGCTGGTTCGTCTGATCTCTTCTGGAATCTTGCTGATTATTCATCTGCTCCTCACCCGCTCCTTGTTCTTGCTGCATGTTGAAGTTTCTCTGTACTTCTTGTTGTATGTATAGATTATGTATGAGAGAAAGAGGCAGGGATGAGATTTGGTGAGTTGGGTTTGTATTATATGGGGGGTGAAATGCAGGTTTTGAGGGAGATAATTGAGGAAGAAAAGAGCTCAACGTGTCTATTTTTGGTTATTGAAGAATCTGAAACTTTTCAAGAAAACCACGGCGAGGATTGTTTATACCTTGTGCATGATTTGTACATATTCACAAAACCAAGGTCTCTTAATCCTTCTTTCTTGTTTTAGCAGATAAAATCTGAAAAAGAAAACCACTATCAATTGGCCAAATCAGTTAATCAGCAACTCAGCATCCAACAAAATCCCCTTAGCTATCTTCAGATTTTTCTCATCTCCCCATAAAGAGTTAAAAAACAAGAACAATTTATCTCCTATATATGTAAACATATATATGTTTATATATGCACGTACAGGTGGACGTATTTATATAAAGAGAAACTGATATAGAGATATAAAATTTCAGTTCCAACCCATCTCTTTTCCTCTTAAAAAAAAACAAAACCCAACTTCAAAACTGGAAAATCTCTGGTACCCAGTTGAGAATTCCCAAAGGGAATTAAGAAAATGAAGAAGGAACTGGGGAGAGAAGAGGAAAGATGGCGTGGCGGGCGGCAATGAGGGTTGATGAACTTATGTCAGAACTAAGCTTAATACTCTTTTCTCTCTCTGTTTTGCTTTTGGTCAGCTTGTTCCTTTCAATTTTGTAATTTCTTTGTCTGTAACTCCCTTGAGCCTTTCTATTCTTCATATTTCTTTTTTACTTTTGAATAATTTTCTGTCTCTTCCTTTTGTTTTCTGTCTTGTTTAATGATTAAATAAAAAAAAATTTACCTTTTTTTCCCCAAAAAAAAAAAATTCTTGGTTTTGTTGGCTTTGACATCAGTTTTCTGGGTCCATGCATGTATAATCTTTAATGACTTTGACACCCATTTCACTTAAAAAGACAGAATTGTCCAAACAGTTCTTGACACTGTTTGGGAATTTTCTTTCTTTCTTTTTCAAATCTTTGAATCTTTTTCCAGTCAAACAAACAGACTGAGTCTTGGAAGAAGATGAAGACAATGGTAAGTAACTAACCAAGGAGTGTAATCAAGCTCCGGCTCCTAAAACTTTATTTACATTATGTATGTTATTGGTTACTAGTAATTTCCTCAATTTTTTAAAAGTTTAGTTTAGGAATAAATTAGACTCGGGAGAATGATAATACAAGTTCATGCTAAAAAAAAAGCTGTGATCCGAAATTATTAATTATTTGATTTAGAGTTATAAGATCGTCTGATTCTTAAATAATTAGAATCCGATAATTAATAGTTTGCATCCACATAATTTTTTAATTTAAAGTTATAAGATCTTCTTATTCTTAAATAATTAGAATCCGATAATTAATAGTTAGTGCCCATAGAATTTTTTGGATTTAAAATTATAAAACTTTTTAATTTTTAAATAATTAGAATCCGATAATTAATTGTTAGTACCCACAGATTTTTTTTTTACAAAATCGCGTTAAAATCAATTATTATTTAATCTTTTATTAAAAAAAAAAAAGCTCACGATTTTTTTAAAAACCTAGAGCTTTCGCGGCAATGCCTTCAAACCAATGAGATCCCAATTCTCCGTTAGTTCGATTGGATTGGAGATTTAGAACTTCTTTAAAATTTTTATTGGTACAATTTGGTCTAAAAAATATAATACTATCGAATTTCGTCAAGATTTAGTTTCGATTTATTCTATTTTAATTACAATTACTTACATGATTAGATAAACTCTACTCACATCTTCAATTTCACAATGATTATTTTATTTTCATTGGTTAAAGAAAAAATCATTAAAAAAATATATAACTTATATTAGACATAAATTAATTTAGAATTATAAAATTATTTGTACAAAAAAATAAAACTTTTATATTGTAATTTTCTTTACTCTATGAAATTGAATTTTAAACTAAACTTAACCAAAAGATTTTGCTTCTCCAAAACTAGTAAGTACTTAGTGTCTCTTTGGAGGGAAAAAATTAAATGAAGGAGACAAAATTGATGGGTAACATAATTCTTACAACAAAGTATTAATCAAAGTAAAATTTTATTAATTCAAATGAAAAATTAATAATAAGTAGATAATTACACTTGATGTTTGGGTGTTATACAACAAAATATATTATTGGAGAAAAAAAAACTATTTAATTACATAAATTAAATAAAAATGACAAAAATATGATTAAATTAAGCTTGTTTTATTTTTATTTTTTAAAAAAACATGATTTTGCTTTGAAATTGTCTAAAACTTGTTTTATTTACATTTGGCAACAACATATAAAACCATTATTCTTGTGGATTTTGTTTAAATAGAGAAAAGTATATCGATGAAATTATAAATTTTATTGTATTTAATTTACTTTAATTTTATGTATACTATGTGAAATTTTTAACTTTCGATTTCTCTTCCTTCTCATTCTTGATCTCTCACACCTTATTTCATTTGTCCACCATGTAACGACCCCGGAAATTTAAAATGAAATGTATATTAAAAATATCAAATGCGGAAGCGAAGTCAAAAATTAGATTAACATCCCTTACACTAAAACCAAAAACGTGCTCACAATATAAAAGATCAAACTACCTAAAGGAGAAACTTGAAAGTAAAAGCTACGAATATGACTATGGAGTCTTTAGGCGTCCCCTTCGTCGTCCTCCTGCGGAACCGGCTCGGGAACAATGTCTTCCTGATCTGAAATGATTAAATAAGGAATGAGCTACACTAGCCCAGTAAAGACATCACGATATCTCACCGTCACGGAGGTAAAAGTGGGTAGAAAACACAAAAAGACCAATGGAGCATAATTTACAACAAATCCTTTTATCAATAATAAAACCTTTACCATTCACTTACCTCAGCGAAATTCATGAAAACAATATACGAAAGCAATAACATCATCATCATCATGAAATCATATATAAACTGTATAACATAACACTTATCAAGCCTTTCGTAATTCAATCGTTACACAACATATTTTCCTCATTTATCAGCCCACTAGTATCCATGGGGATCCATAGGGGTCCCACTACCCGTTAACCCTTAACACTTGAAATCAGATTCCAGGGCCGTCCCCATACCCCGTCCGGTATGAGCGCCAAAACTATAAACCTCATTACCCCGTCCGGTATGAGGGTGAAACAGGTCGTCCCCATACCCCGTCCGGTATGGGCGCCAAAACACATAAGATCTCCATACCCCGTCCGGTATGGGAGACCACAATCCCGGTAGGGTTCCCTACGGACCCGGTCCATCCACCATCTCCCAGGATATCTAGTCAGGCTGACCACATTATACAATTACCCATTTACATAATCTTTCATTCTCTTTTCCCTCAGTCAGCATTATCAATCCACATACAAACAAGCAAACGGTAATTTATGTCAAACAGACAACATACAGCATCAATATCCCAGTCATTCAATCCATAATCAGTAAAACAGTAAAATATGCACACAAAACTATAAAATGAAAACATCAAACCTCATACTGCATTTAAAACTGTAAAACAGGCCAAATAAACGTTAACCGTCAAACACACTAGACTCGGGCTCCATTAGCGACCTTAAGCAATTTCACACATTCGTTGATTCATGGAATACCGTTTTATCATTTATTGAACTTTAATACCGTGATAGGAGATAGGGTGAGGGGTCCTTACTCGTTTCGGGGTCCAAACACGGCTTCACAGTGCGCCTACAGGCTGTCCCTAATTTTTCCTGAATTTTTCTCGGAGAACTGAAACGCACTACTAGTACCTGCACGTGTTCCAAAAAATCCCAAATTAGGCCCAGGGCCCCTTTCAGCCAATATCGCAACTCCGGCACGGCGGCTCCGCCGTGCTTCGGCGACGGCGCCGCCGCTTGCGGTGGCGATTCGCCTCGGTTTGGCCGTTTTCGGCCGTTTCCGACCGAATTCGTCCACACTTGCATCGATCCTTGCGATTAAACAACTCTAGGGCCCTCGGGAGGCCAAAAAATTATGGAAAATCGAAGCTTACCGGCGGCGGTGCTCTCGGGTGCGGCGGCTCTCCGGTGAAGTTCGTGTTTTGGTGATTCGGCTCTGATCGACCTGTAGAGAAAAGAATGGTGATCACGGTGATATAAAAATTACATTAAACGGAGGCCGGGAAGGGCCTCATCGGAGGCAAAAACCGAGGAGGGGCGCGGCGGTGCCGCTGGGTTTCGACCGGGATTTTGGCTCTGATTTGGCCACAGGGGAAATCAGCGTGGAAAAATGAGTCGGGGGTATGAAATTTACCTCGATCGGGGGTCGGAAATCCCTCCGGTGAGGCGGCGGGTGGCGGCGGCCGGCTTCTGGTTCGTCTTCTCCGACGAGGGCAGGCGGCTAGGGTTTTGTGGTCTGGTGTGGGGGTCTTATTTATACCCTTTTGCCTTTTGATCTCAGCCGTCCATTTTGTTTTAATCTGAGCCGTCCGTTTTTGATTGAATCTGGGTCGTCTGTGCGATTGCATCTGGGCCGTCCGATCGCACGTTTGATCTGGGCCGTCCGATCGCGCATACGCGGATCGCCAACGTGGCCCGTCCCGGATCGATGTGGTCTTGCCACGTGGCAGGTCCCGGTTGGCCGGGACTGCTGACTGGGTCTGCTGACGTGGCCCCTTTTTTTTTTTCTTCTTCAATTTCCCGGGCGCTACAACTCTCCCCCCTTAAAGAAATTTGGTCCCCAAATTTGTCTCGTTACTCTTGATCGAACAGATGGGGATATTGGGCCCTAAATTCTGATTCCAGCTCTCAAGTAGCCTCCCTGGGCGTGTGGTTCTGCCACACGACTTTTACTAATGATATTTCCCGGTTGCGGAGTATTCTGCTCTCTCGGTCCGTGATACCGACCGGTACTTTTTCATAAGACAAGTCCTCTCGGAGTGGAAGCGGTTCATGAGCCAAGACATGAGAAGGGTCCGGATTGTACTTACGTAGCATAGATACGTGAAACACATTATGAACCCGATAGAGCTCAGGAGGCAGTGTAAGTCTGTAGGCAGTGGTACCAATTTTGTCTAAGATTTCAAAGGGTCCAATATATCTGGGGTTTAATTTTCCCCTCCTGCCGAACCTACTAATTCCCTTGAAGGGGGTGACTTTAAGAAACACCCGGTCGTCTTTCTCAAAGGCCATGTCTCTCCTCCGGGTATCAGCATAACTCTTCTGCCTACTCTGAGCTGTCTGGATGTTCTTCTTGATCTTAACTATCTTGGACGTGGTTTCTTCTACGAAATCCGGGCCAAACAATCTTCTATCGCCCACTTCCTTCCAACAGATCGGTGACCTACACGGACGCCCGTATAGTGCCTCGTATGGGGCTATACCGATGCTTACTTGGTAACTGTTGTTGTAAGCAAACTCTATCAGGGGTAGGTGGTCGTCCCAATGGCCCCCGGAGTTAAGGACACAAGCTCGGAGCATATCCTCCAGCGTACGAATTGTCCTCTCTGATTGTCCATCGGTTTGGGGGTGGAAGGCAGTACTAAGAGACAGCTTTGTTCCCATAGCTTGCTGGAAACTATTCCAAAACCGAGAAGTGAATCTGGGATCCCTGTCGGAT